TGATACCACATAAAAAAAAATAGAATGGCTACATAAAAGTATGTTAAAATACCATACGATCGAAAAAACGGCGCCAATGATGGCTGGGAAATGACAATAGATTTTGGCTAGGTCAAGCCCTAGACATCATTTCCTTGGCCCGTATTCTTCTTTATTTTTTAATATCGCTTACTGCCAGTTGGCCTTCGTTCAAAAAAACCTTCATCTCGGTAGCTTTGAACGACTTTAAAGTTTTATTATTTGATCAAATTATAGAACAATTTATACTACTTATTAGTGTATTCTTACAAGTCTTTAAGAAATAATTTATCTATGAGAATACATGACAAGACAAAATTATGAACAAATTTTCAATACAGTAAAATACTTTTTTGTAGTTCCAAAGCTCCAAATCTAAATTTTATCATTAATAGCTGCATTTTTCCTCTAATATGTCAACATATTTCAACAGTGATACATTTCTAAAAAGAAAAGGCGTCCAGTTGCCTTCATAATGAAGATCGATTTCATTACCATCATCATCATTTTCAGCTTATTCAACCATTTCCAATTATGGTGTAGCTTTCCTCACATCTCTCGTTGTAGATGGGCCCATTGTTGTCTATTGTTGGCTATCCCTGGTAATTTCCTAATATCATGTTCCCATCTCAGGTTTGGTCATCCTCTAGGTCTCTTACCTGGAGTCTTTTGTCGTATCCACTGGGTCTTTTGTCGTATCCACTCTATTCTTTTACGATCTCTCTTGGTTATTCCCAGCATATTTCGTTTCACTGAACGTTGTGCGCTCTGTAGTTTCCTTATGATGTCCGTTTTAAGTATCCAGGTTTCGCATGCATAGGTCATGACTGGTAGTACACATTGGTCGAATGTTTTCTTCTTTATATAGAGTGACATTTTCGATTTGAATATGATTGAGTTTCTTCAATAAGTACTGCATGCTAAGTTAATTCTTCTGTTGATTTCAGCTAGTAGAGATCCCGAGCTGTGTATTAGTTGTCCCAAATATATATATATATATATATATATATATATATATATATATATATATATATATATATATATATATATATATATATATATATATATATATATATATATATATATATATATATATTTATATTTCTACCATTAGTTTGTTGTACATTACTTTAGTTTTTGCTAAATTCATTTTGAGACCCACTTTATTGCTGGCTGTAGCATTTCCAAACCATCTCTGATGCCGTTTTTTTCGACCGTATGGTGTGATGGTAGAGATGTTTAATACTCGTTTGAAAAGTTTCATTTTAATTCTTTTTAGTTAACGTCAAATTTAAATCAGAGCAGTGGGATAAAATCACGGGTATGTTATCATTACATGCAATCTATAGGTTGTTTTAAATTAATGGTGATGACAAGTTCTAACTCGATGAGAATCAAGACGAAGAAAAACTATACCCACGGTAGCACTCACCAACAACAATTTCGTATTTTATCTCCGACGTAATATCTTTAAAGAGGAGACCAGAACAAAAAAAAAACGACAACGATGACGGACGAAGAAACAGAAACGAAAAATAAAACATTAAAAACGGCGGCCGAGTTTAAAATCGAGTGTCGCCGACACAGGTTGTCTTATTTGACGACGCATAACGAAACATGCTGTTTAAATATATATACGTATATAAGATCGTATGTGGACGTTATACACAAAGCGACGGACCCGTGAGAAACTATCTTTTTCGTTTTTTATTGCTTTCATAACTTGACCCCGCCGGTCGCCTTCGTCGTCGCTGCTCGGGGACTTTTCGAAAAAATAACGAAGAGGAAAAATAATTGCTAAAAATAGTTGAAATTTTTCGTGACCGCGACCGGGCCTCAAGTGACAAAAATGCGGTAAATTGTTGGAAGTGTCAAAAGCGACGAAATTTGATATTTATTTATTTTTTGGTTTCTACCTTGAGGCAACTGGAGGTGGGAATGCTCTTACAGGGTATGATCACGAACGCTTATGATCAAGGGATAAAAATAACTAAAAAAGTTGGTATAAATGTATGTCCTAAAATGCTTAGTTTCGGAGATACAGGGTGTAGAAGTTTCATTTTTATCTCGATTTTTTCTAAATAATTTCTGAGTTTTTGGGCATGAGAATTTGATTTTGATGTCAATATGGCTCCTACTGGTTGAGGGCGCCACCTAAATATTTTTTAACTGGTTTGAAAAGTAATAACTTTTCGTCCGGACGTGTATAAAACTACTGAGTAAAAAAATATACATTTAAGCCGTTTTTTACGTAAAAAAGTTCTCTTAGTAAAAATCGCTACGATTAATGGTTCTCGAGATATTTGGAATCGAAATTATCAGTACCTGGCATCTTTGACATAAATTAAACATGTTGACTAAATAGTTATTCGATTGAAATCATAAATCTTAAACAAATTTTGTATCAAAAGTTCAACAGAAACTGTTTTATCATCATGTTTTCGAAGAAAAATTTATGATTAATTTAAAAAAATAAAAAGTTCCCAAATTTATCATTTCAGTCAAATAACTATCTATTCAACATGCTTATTTTTTGTCAATAATGACACGTATGGACTATTTTCAGTCTAAATATCTTGAGAACAGTAGTTGTTCGTAGCGATTTTTGCAAAGACACATTTTTTACAAAAATCAGGGAAATGTATATTTTTTCACCCAGTAGTTTTATACAGGTACGGACGAAAATGTATTACTCTTCAAAACAGTTAAAACACATGTAGGTGGCGCCCCCAACAAACAGGAGACATACTGACATCAAAATGAAATTTCTCATATCATAAAACTTCCAGACACCAATTTTCATCCAAATATTGACTTTACCTACTTCAGAAATTATTTGGAAAAAATCGAAATAAAAATGAAACTTCTACACCCTGTCTTCGAAACTAAGCAATTTAGGACATACATTTATACCAACTTTTTTACTTATTTTTATTTGCAGAATATGCTGCCTAAGTTTCAGGAATACAGTTCGGACCACCCTGTATAATATCCATATGATTTCCATAATAATGTAAGATTAATCAAAAATAGTTGAGGACTAAATGGATGTAATTTTAAGGTTTTCAAATTTAATTACTGAATAGGTGTATTAAAAATATACCTAGGGAGGTGCTCGTAATTAATTTTGAAATATATGGCCTTATTAAGATATAATTACTAACTATTTTTATTAATTTTTTTTTCAAACGTCAAAAAAGTATTAATTTTTGGGACGTTATTGACAATATAAAAAAGTAATTTTAACGCCTAGGGATAATAGTAAAGGACTTTTAGGCCTAAGCACAAAAGTACGAAGATACATTATTAAACTGATATAAAGTATCAAATTTGACGAGCGTAACCATAGTTCCTCTCTATATAATCTCTGTTATAACAACACGGTATTATTTTTATTTTTTTTTATATTATTTGGAACGTTTAAAATTGTTTAAAAAAATATTTGTGACGTTTGAAAAAAAATAACATGTTGTATTCGAAGTAAAAATGACTTTTTGTGCCTCGGCTATAATATCGGTCTGTAGCATAGCCCTGTTATATTTCCTTACAATTTTAAAATGATATTAATTGTAAATGCACTCTTCATTTTGAAAACCCTGGTTTAATTCTTTATAAGACTCTACTGCACACATAGTTTGAAATATTTTTGAAACGTTGAGCTTTAGAGTATCTTAAGTATATCTACATGAATGATTCGTTGCTCATTGATGAAACTTTCTGATTACGTAACTTTATTTTACTTTCTGAAAACTGTGGTTTTCATTATTCAGTGTTGTTAAACATGTAGGCAGTATGTTAATTACCATTTATTTCGCAATCCTACAAATCTAATTTTGATCTTTGCACTATTCTTCTCGAAAGTTTACAAATTTCATCAAAAGTATGACCACAACATAGCTTATTTCTTATCTAAGATTTAAATATGCAAAATATCTTTCAAATATTCAGAAAGTTCTCAATTTATTGGAAAATTTGTTTTTATAATTTCAATATTATATCACAATCTTATAAGACTGAGTTTGGTCTTTTTTAAATATTTCTCAAATTTAAAAAAAAACATTATTATTTTATTTATTATAAAGTCTTTGATAAAGTTGTACATTATGAAACTGTAGAACTATAGATGTTTAATATTATACCATGGCTTGTTATTGCTTTTTATCAATATTTTTGGGCCAACAAAATTTTACTTAATATGATTTATATATACTATACTTTCTGTATATTTTCGTAAGATTTTTTCGCTAAATTCCATTCCGTAGCCATACTAGAAACATCAGCAGACGATTTAAACTCAGTCTAATCATCTGTTGATGATGCTAACATGGTTGGCGAAACGCCCGTTCAGTGCAAAAGTAATGTGTTTTGGTGTATTGTGGTAAATTAGTGCTTTATTTTGCTAGTTTTGAACGCAAGAAGTGTATTTACTTTTTTTTGGGGATTCAATTTAATTATTATTCTTTATACATTACATTCTCTGTAAAATTTGATTCTGGGAAAACCGGAAATAATTATTCAAAAATTATTCGTAACAAAAGTCAATCGACACTATATTTCTAAAAGACGAATATTTTTTTTATTTACAAAAAAAACAGCTGATAAGAAATTATTAGTATATATACTGAACCAAAAATTAGTATAAAACAGTCCCAATCAATAATTTGTATCAATAACAACAATTAAACAATATATATAATCAAGTTAATATGCACTATTAAAATATAAGTTTATTGCAAAAGTTCACGGAGGTCAAGCGAAAAGAAAATTAAGACGAAAATCGTAAAACCAAGTCAATTTAAGAAATAACTCATATACAGTGTGACAGCAGAAACAGGAATATGGAAAATAGTTCCATCTGTCAAAAGAAATGTAATGTGTCAATTCATATTTTTCCTCTCAAATATTCTCTATTGTTATATTTATACATTCTTATTTTGGTTAGATGCCCAATTATACTAACGTTTACCTTCTTGTACTTACAGATCTTCAAAGTGTCATCGTCTTCAGCACCTACCTGTCACTTTTAACGTTGCCCAGTTTGAACGCCCAGCCCATCAGAATGGAAAACAAATTGGAACGATGGATGAATCCTTGCGATAGGCCGGAACTAATTCAACCTACCGGCAGCCCTCCAGAGGAATTGGACACTTCGATGATGGGAAGCGTATCGCAAGCGGCGAGCACTGCCCTAACTGTAGCCAAAGATCAGTTCCAGAGTCGCCTTAGCGAGTCAGCTGTCAGAGTAAGTAATATGTGGTAATACATTGTCTAAGTCTACTAATAATCTGACATTAGATAATTATTAGCATTTTCTTTTGCTCCTAAATCATATTTTATTTTGATTTAAATCCTTATCATTTAGTAACGCCACTATTCACTTTGACATTAATCAACCAATTGACGTCCGGTTGAAATAGGTTATTACAATAATAGTTAATAAACTTGAAATATTATGCTGGATACATCTTATCTTATTGCCGGAATTGTTGACCTACAGTAATATCTCTGGCAATGACCGTGGCACAACAGTGAAATCAAGGCCAACGAGCTGTTATGATATCGTTATTGATGAAATCGTCATAACACAGTAGTGCGATAGTGTTTTGAATATTACGTATGATATCGATACTAGGAAGTAACTTCTTTAATATACAGTGATATCATTTTATTTTGTTCTACTTTTAACAGGCTTTAACTTGTAGTTTTTGATTGAAATTTCATAAAGAATCTACATATGTGTTCATCTGTTTATTGCTTTCAACTTATACTTAAAAATTATGCGATGTGGCGTTTTTCCATAAGTGTAGGCCAAATCTCATTCAAATGGGAATATCGGTTCATAAGATATCTTAAAAAATGTGTTTATTTTTGTAAAGCTTGATACCCTCTAACGACAAACGAAGCACTTTTGTACTTTTGTATAGAGGTAAATCCCATTAACAAAACTATATAACCTATAATGAATAACTTTCACATATTTATGATAGAGAATACCATTCATATTTGATAAAATGTTTTGAAATTCTAGGGGTAATTCTCTTGAGATTCTACAGGGTAAGTCTTAAATAAGTGCAAATATTTTTAGGTGTGAATGTGAATGTGTGAAAATGTATATTGGAGTATACTCCAGAATATAAAAAACTCTACGTTTTTTTTTCGTGAACAAAATTTTTAAAAATTTGGAATTTTTTGAAAAAATGTTTCGAAATGTTTTTGACTTTTTAGTTAAAAAAACATAACTTCTTGATAATATGACAACATAGGTAGTAGATTAAATTTACAAGAAAGAAAATCCAGAAAAGATCCAGCGGTTCTCAAAATTTAAGCAAAAAATATATTTTTTTTTTGAAAATTTTCAAAATAATATAACTCCGTTATTTTGGACTTAGTTGAAAAATGGTAGAGAAAATATGTTTCTTTTATCGAGATCTACCAGCCCTGAAAGTATTTGCACTTATTTAAGACTCACCCAGTATAATTTGGATTTTAATGAAAAAAAAATAGCTACAATTTAAAGCCTCAAAAATGTTGGACAAAAAATGCAAACACTGTATATGACGTTTCAAAATAATATTAGTATACCTAATTGATTAAAAAAAGGGTTTGCTGTCAATTAAAGGCGTTTTGATATACAAAAAGTTAGTTAAAATATATTCATAATTTGACTTGGAAAGAGCAAGTTAATTTTGAACATATTGACATTTCATGTATGTAAACACGATACCTACTATTTTATATTTCTTCTTAAAAATGTATCGATTTTAAAAGTTAGTTGTTTTGTATTATTCCATAACTTTTTTAAAATGTTCCAATTGTGAATCAAATTTTAATGTAACTCAAACTTAACTCGTTACTTAAATTACCTATAACTCTCCATACAATTAGATTATTAATACAGCTTTAAGCTTCCATTAATATTCAACTAAAATAATAATTTTTCAATTCATCTAGTAATTTTTTAGAGACACTAATAACTAATGAGCAAAACTCACCTTCTTAACAGCACTTAAGGGACATAAAGGGCCATTATTACTGCTTTTCCGTTCAAAATATTCTAATAAAGTTACGATGAATTTTTTTTACGGTTATTAAGCTATCTTGTATACACTTCGCACTTAAAGAGGTTCTAAAAAGGACAATATTCAACTGTAAGGTCTGCTAGTAAACATTTGTAAGCTTAAAGTATCACAGCACTATTTATTTGAACCAAAAACTCGTAATACAAAACTAAAGTGTCAAAACGAATGATAATGTCAGAAAATAAAAAAATAAATGTGGCAAATTGTCATTTTTACAGTAGAGCTACCTAACCTAACCTGAATTCCCAGCGCGAAATTTAAATTCCAGTTAATCACTCCGGCGCCAAATATTTCTATTGTTGGCAACAATGAATTTAAAAATCGCGCCCCCGATTACGTAACTAAAAGTTTAATTGGATATCAAATATATATTAATACATTACATAATCCTTTTTTAGTAGAGCCTTAATCAGTTCCATTATAAATGGCACCAAAACACGTTTTTTTACCAATGCATTTTAAAGAAAGTTTTAAACGAAGAGCATTTAAAATTCCCGCTCTTTTCCTAAGGTCGCAGCAGTAGACAGGAAGGATGTTATTCGCGCCATTCGTTAAACAGGATCTCGAAATGTTAAAATGACTATATGAGCGTAAATCGTGAGAGAATTTAAATTGTTTTCTATCGAATGAATACCAATGAACCGTCGAGATGAAGGTGCTGTGGAGTTAAATTTTTCGGTTACGCACAATCGTCATAGGTCTATTGTTTCCGAATAGTCAATCGTTGTTTGAAACTAACAGTTGGTGAGATAATAGACTCTTTGGATGATTATTTAGCGGATATTAATACATACCTTGAGACGTACAGCCATAAAGTTATAAGAAGGCTTCCTGAAGATGTAAAAAAGTGACTGTATTTCTTGCCCTCCAAGTTAAGGATTTTTCCATTGAGTTTTTAATGAACTCCTCCATTGTTTGTTATATTCTTCGATGAGCTCTATTGTAAATTCAATATCTACAAAACCAGTTCAATTACAGCTTGCTCTACAAAGATATATGTTTTTAAATTTCAAAATATCAACAAAATTTTAGACAGTTAGGGAAATTGTACTGTCTATCTTAGTAATTTTCAAACGGTAGTTTATTCATCTTATTTGAAATCATTTTAAAAAGTTTCTATTAAACAAATTACAGTTTGAAATATTTATTAAACATAGGATTAGTAATACAATATCAGGAAATCAAGAAGGCGTCTGTTAATAAATACTGAATGGCATTGAGTTTATCGAACGTGTATTCAAATTAGTTATTCAAAAGTAAGCAGCACCAGTTTTTCTGTTGTATATGTAATCAATTTGTTTTATTTTATATTATATTTAAATGGGTTGTAAATCCATTGGGGCTGGTTCTGGTGTTTTATTTAGTTTAAGAAAATAAGAAGAGTAATATTTAGGTAAATTAAAAGTTAATTGAGATACTAACAAAAAGAATTATTGCGGATGTTCGCCTACCTTATTTCCAAGTCAGCTCCTTGCACGTTTTTGCACTTTTTCGTGGATAAAAAGTCTATTTAATTTCTTCGGATATCGCGATACAGAAAATGACCAGTTGAGTCTGCGGCGGACTATATCGAAGTCACACTCGGAGTCGTAGTTTCCTGCCCGAGGCGCAATGGCGTAGCGGGCGAACATTTATTATGAACAAAAAAATTATGCGCGAAATTAAATTTATAAAATGAATAGTAATAAAATACCGAACATATACTGCCCCCCATTTTTGTTAAATGAAAATTTAACAATAATAAAAAAAAATTAAAAATGAGGTAAATTATGAAAATTATATGTAGAGTATTAATGAAAACGGAATGAAAATTTATAGAAAAAAAATGAGAGAAAAAAAATATATACAAAATTAAATTATATTTAATTTAAGAAATGTTATTTATTTGGTAAAAGACATAATTTGACAAGTGGCCGTACATAGAGCCCTTGAGATGTCTGTACTTCAGCAACCCGTACTATATTATCCTTTCCAGGGAATACCTTTCTCACGCGACCTATTTTCCATGTTATGGGTGGAGCGTTTTCATTTTTAATTAGAACTAAACTGCCTGGACTAAGCGACTGGCCTGGCATGAGCCATTTTGATCGCTGTTGAAGCGTGTTTAAATATTCTCGGTGCCATCGCACCCAAAAATCTCGATGGAGGCGTAAAAGTAACTGATATCTATCAAGCCTATTTAATTTAATATGAGATAAATCAGGATCAGGTATACAAGAAAGCGGTTCTAGCGTTAAAAAGTGACCTGGAGTGAGGACTGTGTAATCATTCGGATCAGAACTTTGCGGACAAAGCGGGCGTGAATTTAATAAAGATTCAATTTGTATTAATAAAGTATTCATTTCTTCATATGTTAAACATTGTGACCCAATTACACGGGAAAAATGTGTTTTAACAGATTTTATTCCAGCCTCGTATAAACCTCCAAAATGAGACGCGGATGGCGGGTTAAAACTCCATTTAATGTTTTCTTTACCAGCGGATTCTTGAAATATTTTTCTTAAATACTTATTAGCTCCGGAAAAGTTAGTACCATTATCTGAGATTATTTCACTGCATCTGCCTCTACGAGCTATGAATCTACGCAATGCACATAAAAAATTATCGGTAGATAAATCAGATGCCAGCTCAATATGAATGGCCTTGGTTGTAAAACATACGAAAATACATATATAACTTTTAACTAACTTAGCGTTGCGAAGTTTACTTGTCTTAATTAAAAACGGACCTCCAAAATCAATTCCTACAATAGAAAAAGGTTTAACTTGCGAAATTCTTGTAGCCGGTAGATTACCCATAAGAGGTTGAAGAGATGAGGGATTCGAGCGGAAACATGAAATACATTTAGAAAGAACATGCTTGATTGCGCGACGAGCGGATAATATCCAAAAATTTTGCGATAATAAATATTGAGTAGTTAAAAGCCCTGGATGCAAATTAGATTTATGTATATGCTCTATAATTAATTCAGTTAAACGAGAGTTGCGCGGTAGTATTAATGGATATTTCTTTTCGTAATTTAAAAGAGAATTTTTGAGTCTACCCCCAACTCTAAAAAATCCATGTTCGTCTACAAAAGCTCCTAATTTTCGAAAAGGTTTAGACATTAAAACTTTATTAGAATAATTTTCAATTTCTATATGAAAATGTGTATACTGCACAT